CATTCACCGTCCCTGCACTGGTGCAGTTGGGAAGGTTGGGTCCAAGATCCCCATCTGGCATCTGTGCCAGGAACTGCTCATGCTCCTGGGAAATCCACTCTGGCTGATCTTGCTTGAGCAGGGGCTTGGTCTAGGAGATCTCACCAGGTCCCTTCCCACCTCTGCTGCTGTGCAGTGCTCTGGCAGCAGCTCTCACCAGGTAATCTCACTGCAGTCAGCAGCAAATTAGCTTTGTTTTTTTTTTTCTTTTCTTTAAAAATTAATTTCCATGTTGTTTGCTGTTACCATGGGCCAGAGCTGCAGGGGTCTGGACCTGGGGTCACTGATGCAGTGGAAGAAGTCAAGCTGAAATCCCTCCCTGAGCAAGATCCTGCAAGAACCATGTGGGAATGTTTGGAACAGCAGCAGGTTGGAGAGGTTGGCGTGGGCTTTGGGGCTGCCAGCGCTCCCCTGGGCACTTCTCTGCTCCTCAGGAAAACACCAGGTGACTTCTTCTAAGAGGTTTATAATCCGTGGTTTTGGTGGTTGCTTGTTTGCCTTGGATGGCCTGAGCCTGCTCTACTTGGCACGGTGCCTTTGTGGAACAGCTGAGACAAAGCTGGCTGCTATTTTGACAAGATTTGGGATTGAGGCCAAGAGGAAAAAGGTTGTGTGTGAAGCCATGGTGTTGCTGGAAGAACTGGGAGCTCCTGGTATCTTCTTCTGGCATCTCTGGAGTCTGTTTAAAGAGAAATGCTTCCCATGGGTGAAGTCTGTCATCTCCCACCCATCTCAGTCCATGAGAGCAGAACTGACTGTGGGATTTTCACAGCATCACACACTGGTGGGGTTGGAAGGGACCTCAGGAAATCATCCAGTCCAACCCCCCTGACAAAGCAGGTTACCTACACCAGGTGGCACAGGAAAGTGTCCAGGTGGGTTTGGAACATCTCCAGAGATGGAGACTCCACCCCCTCTCTGGGCAGCCTGTCCCAGGGCTCAAGGATTTTTTTTTTACCAATAATTTTTTATTTGTGTGACCAAACCATGCTGGGGGTGAGGGGGGTGTCAGCTTCCCTGGCTGCATCACTGTGTTTAATTTGTGAATGTGATGAGCAAAAAGTGAAGAGATGAGATTGCTTTGCTCCTTTTTCTTTCTTTCTCATCCTTGAGGTCTTTCCTTCACACTGCAGAGCTTGGAAACCTCCTTGCAGAGGCAAGAAAGCCAACCCAAAGGGATGCTCTTGAGGATGTACAGGACACATCCTGAGTCATTAGTGCTGAAAATGTTACTGATCCTGGCTGACATCTCCCCTGGCTTCCTTTAGAGTGAAAGCCTTCCAGTCTTTGGAGATCACACCAGCAGCAGGAGGTCTCCTCCAGTGCTTTGGCTGGTGTATGGGTTCAGGACAAAGCCAGGTTTCCTCATCCTGTCTTAAACCAATAGCTTCTATCCCAGCACTTTGAAAGTAGAAATGATCACCAGGTGGCTTCAGCAAATGCTTGGGCTTTGTCTAGGAACCACAGATGACTTTTGTCCTGGTCTTTTTAATTTTATATTAATTCCCATTAATTCTCCAAGGTGCACAGCAGGACACCGAAGGAGCTGGGCACAACAATGTCCTTCTACGTGTGGTTATTTCTTTTACTGTGAGCATGTTATAGCTGGTGTATAAACATGGGAGTGCTGGTGGGTGACCGGTTGACCATGAGCCAACAATGTGTCCTTGTGGCCAAGAAGGCCAATGGCCTCCTGGGATGCATTAGGAAGAGTGTGACCAGTAGGTCAAGGAAAGTTCTCCTCTCTTTCTACTCTGCCCTGGTGAGGCTGCATCTGCTGGTGGATACTGGGAGAGAGCTGGAGACCGTGTGCTCTCATTACATTCATCCTCTCAAAATGTTCTCTGCCCTTTTGGAGCTTTGCTTTGGAAGAACTTGGTCTCTTTGTGACTTTCCCTGCCAGCTTGCCTCATCTCAATGCTTTAGAGAGGAGTCAGCCCTTCAAAAGAAATCAGATTGCAAAAAAAAAAAAAAAAGAGAGAATCGATGTTTCATTTTGAAACTATTTGACTCCATCACGTGCAAATTGAAGCCATACCCGTGGTCCAGATGGGCTTTGGATGTTTTTCCTTGGGGATCGCTTGGCAATCGTGTGAGGAGGCTTTTCACTTGGCCACTGCCTCAAACCTGCCTTTTGAAGCTCCTGGGGACATGCCTTTCCTTGACTGATGAGCCAGCTGAGCACAGTGACTGCTTCCCTGGTGTTGAACCTCATCTTTCCCAACATTTCCCAGAGGTCTCAGTCTCTGCAGAAGATATAGCTGCTGCCTGAGCATCTCCAAGGAGCACTCAAGGTTTGGGGGAGGTTGGAGCAGCCCAGTTCCATCAGCAGTAGAGATCAAAGTGAATTCTGCTTTAAAGGGGTTCAGAGCATCCTCTCTACTTCTATTTAGGGGAAGAGGAGGGGCAGGCGCTGATCTCTTCTCTCTGGCCACCAACCAATGCCAGGAGCAGAGGGAATGGCAGGAAGATGTGGCAGGGGAGGGTGAGGTTGGCCATGAGGAAAAGGTTCTTCAGGCACCCAGAGGGTGGTGGAGCACTGGAACAGGCTCCCCAGGGAGGTGCTGATGGCACCAAGCCTGACAAGATTGCAGCAGCATTTGGCCAAGGCCCTGAGGGACATGGTGTGAATGTTGGGCTTGTCCTGTGCAGGGACAGGAGTTGGACTCCAGCATCCTTGTGGGTCCCTTCCAACTCACAACATGCTGTGCTTCTGTGATTTAAACCTGTGTGACTGGAACATTGTGGCTCCTCTGTGTCCCTTTGCACCAGGGGAGCTTTAGATTGGATATGAGGAAAAATTTCTTCACCGAGCACTGGAAGGGGCTGCCCAGGGAGGTGGTGGAGTCCCCTTCCCTGGTGGGATTTAACAGACGCGCAGACGAGGTGCTCAGGGACATGGGTTAGAGGTGGGATTGGCAGGGTTGGGTTTATGGTTGGACTTGGTGATCTTAAAGGTCTTTTCCAACCACTGTGATTCTACACCTTAGGTAAGATCTTCAGCTAATGATCTTTAACCATGTGCCTGGTTGCTGACAGCCTGCATGGGTGGGTGCTCGTTGTCACTCAGGCTCCACAGGTACATAGATCTGAGTGAACTCAGTGCTACTGGGGGGAAAAACAAAACAAACCAAAAAACCTTTCAAAGCTTTCAATGATGAGGTGAGACCTTCTACCATGGAGAAAATTAAATCTGTGGTCAGACTTGGGATGTTTTGGGGTTTTTCCTTGTTTTCTACCACTCCCTCAAATTAGGAAGACTTTTTCCCTTTGGATCCAGGAGAAACTCATGCCTCAGATGGGGCAGGAGGTGATGCTCTGCCAAGGTGACTGCACACAGAGCACATGAGCCTTGCCCAACCTCGGGATGCTGTGGGAGATCGTGGTGGTGGCAGAGCTGGGGCAGTTCTTACACAGGGGCTGCTTTGAGGTTTTTCTGCAGGTTTTTTGGTTAAGTTGGCAAAAAAAACCCCCAGCCTTGAAAATTGTCCTTTGGTTGGAAGCTGAGTTTGAACTGAGTGTTTCCAGGATAATTCCCCAGCAGATGAAGTTCTGCACTGGGGATGTCCCCGGGAGCTGCTGTCCTCCTTCCTGTTCCCTCAACAACCTGTGATGCTCAAGATCCTGCAACTAGGGCAGGAGGTTTCACATCAGCTGCACCCACACGGGTGTTACCTTGAAGGCATCTAGTGAGGAAGCATGAGGCAGCAAGGGAATCAGCCCGGGGAGGTCATGGCAGTGAGTCGTGGGAGCAAGGAGCTGCTCAGGTGTCTCACCAGGAGCACCATGGCCACCAACCCTCTGATCTGCTTCTGTGCAGCCAAAGGGAGGAGGGAGAAAAAAAATAAGAGTGCTTTGATGGCATCTCAGATGCCTTGGGAAGGTTTGTCCCTGTCTTTTCTCAGCCCTGAAGGGTAAGAAAGCAGATGTTATGGCAATGGGGTGACTTGAAGCCAACTCTAGCTTTACCAGCCTCTAACCTGAAGACTTCTTGCTGTGTTGGGTGGTGTTTCGTAGCCTGGGCAGCCCAAAAACACTCACCTCCCCTCTGTCTTTTGTATCTCTGCCTCTAACCTTGGCAGAAGCGAGGTTTTCCAGAAATGGGACCAAGGAGGGGAACTAATCTCATGGAGGAAGCATTGGGCAGGTTGGGGATGGCTCTGTAAAGGGTCTGTGCTCCAGCTCCTGCTAGTCTCATCTTCTGAGCTCGGTCCACGTGCATTTGGTAGCGTGGTGCAGCCAGGCATGAGCAGCACTGGGGTGGGGAGGAGGAGGAAGAGGCTCCTGGCTTGTCCCTTTATAGTGGTTTCCCTTGGCTAGCACTGGGCCGGCACTGGGCTGGCAGCCAAACCCAGCTGCTCGCTCACTGCCAGGTGAGAGGGGAGAGAATTGGGGGGCAAGGGGAAGGAGACTCGTAGAGGGAGAGAAGAACAATTTAACTATGGAAATAAAATAAAACTTAAAATAATAATGATATTGAAATAGTAATGATAATAATAATAGTAATAATGAGTGACCCCCAGTGCCATTGCTCACCACCCACTGACCCAGCCCAGCCCGTTCCCAGAGAACGATCCCGCAGGAGCCACAATCCCGACCCGAAACCGCAATCCCGGGAGAGCCAGAGCCCGAGCCAAAGCCAGAGAGAGCAAGAGAGGAAGAGCCCCTCATGGATCTCCTGCCCATGGGGGACAGGAGATGGAACAGCCCCTTGGCAGAGCCCAATGCCCATGGAGCTGATCCATGGCAATATTCCTCGTGCCCTTAAATCCAGCAAAACACAAAGTCCTTTGAGTGACAACTGAAAACATCGGTGTGTTCTCAGTGTTCTTCTCCTAACCAATCCCAGCTGAACCCAAACCCCAGCGCTGTTCCAGCTGCTGAACAGAACCAGCTCTGGCCCAGCTCACACCAGGACACCTTTCCATGTTAATTTCTTGCCCTCTCGCTCGCACCTACAGCTGCAGATGTTGGTGACTGTGTGCTGGATCAGCCCAGAGCTCCAGGAGGGAACGGACAGATGGACCCACAGGTTGACAAGGAGCTGTTTCCTGAGGGGGAACTGCTGCTCCAGGTACGGTGCCATCACTCAGTCACGTGGGATTGTCCCTTGGCTCCCGTTGTCTGGCTGCTCCCTGTCTGTTGAGCCCTGCAGCAGCTGTGGGGCATGGGGTCCCATCTGTGGAGCAAGAGGAGACCCTGCCTTGCCAGGAGCTGCTTCCCTGTGATTGCTGCAGGCCCTTGGGACAGGGACCAGTGACACTGCCTGGCTGGGGTGGGTCCCCATCCCCACCATTCCCTCCTCCCCTGCACCGCAGTTTGCTGCCCCTTTGGTTGTGCTGCAGCAGCTCTGTTGGGGCTGTACCATAAACTGCAGCTGTGAACAGAGCAGGGCTCAGGGTGGTGGGCTGTGACCTTCTGGTGAAGGCATCAAGTGATGTCTGTGTCTGTAGCTGCAGGAGTTAGCTGTCACCAAGCACAAAGCTGGTGTTTTTCCTTGGGACTCACTCTAGCTTACGGACCCAACGTGCACAAACTCATCCATCCCTCCCAAGAGGTATCATCCAGCAGTGTAGGGATTGATCCTTGATGAGTCTCCAGGGTGGTGGGTTCCTTGTAGTCTAGTAAATGCCAAGAGGAGAATGGTGATAGCTGCAGGATAACGCATCCTCCAGGAACTGTTTGCACCACCTGAGGTGTTACACGAGTAAAAAGTTCAGTTTATAAGTTGTGTGGAAGGGAAAAGAAGAGAAGATGGATCTTGGAAGACAGTGGTGGACAAGATCTGGACAGTGAGAGCTTTGCTTTGTAGAAAGGCCAGTGTGTGTCTAAGGAAATAGTTCTCAATGAACTTCAGAGAACAAGGAGCTGGTGAATCAGCTGGCCAGAATGCTGTTGGTTTGGGCTGCGATCTCTAAATGTAAGCTGGAAGGAAATGGGATGGAAAGGTCACATGGAAAGGCTGGTTAATGACTAAACATCTAGGCACATCAAATTAGAACATGCTGCTCCGTGGGGCTGCAGGGCAACTCTGGGAAGACCCTTAATCTTTCCATGGCTGCGTTCCTGATGTCACCTGTGTCTGTGCTTTCTGGGCCTTCAGTCCTCTTTTCCCTTCTTCCACCTCCCCAAACACCAGCACGCAGATGTTTGGTTCTCCTTAAAGTCTGAGTTTGGTGCCTTCAACCCTGCTCCTGCACAACCTTACACCATTTCTGATGGGCAGGCAGGTGGGTGTGAGCAGAGCCCCAGCAGAAACCCCCATGGAGGATTTTGCTGATGTGGTGACTCCTGGAAGCCCAGTGTGACTTTTGGTGATGAAACTTGGACCACATGAAGTCTCCCATGTGGGCTTCACTCCCAGAAGGAGTCTCAGCTCTCTGCAAGTGTGATAGTCATGGAGGAAGAGCTGGAATCACACGATAGCCAGAAGGGAGCCCATAGTTGCCCCAGTCCCATGATGGAATTGCTCCCAAGTGCTCTCCAGAGGTTTGAGCTGGGCCATGTGATGGCAATTTGTTGAGCCACCAGAGCATTGGCAGCTGTGGCTGATTGAAGGCATCTGGAAAGCTTATGAGGTGTTAATGTGACAGAAATCCCCCAGCTGAGCTGCCTGGTGTTCTGTGTTTGGTTTTTTTTCCCCACCCCCCCCCCCCAGAACATTTTAATCAGATTCTGTAATTTGCAGAAAACTCTGACTCAAGGCCCCTTGGGGGGCTGCAGCAGACAAAGGAAAGCGATGGGTCTTGCTGCAAGATGGATCTGTAGAGCATCAGGCAACGTGCTCAATCCAGCAGCCTTTCCAAAAATCCAAGTTACTAAAAACCACCAGCCCGTGCGAGCCTGGGAGCGTGGCTGTAAATGGGCAAATTCATAGAATCCCAGACTGATCTGGGTTGGAAGGGACCTTAAAGCTCATCCAGTCCCAACCCCCCTGCCAGCAGCAGGGACCCCTTCCACTAGACCAGGTTGCTCAAAGCCTCATCCAACCTGGCCTTCAACACTTCCAGGGAGGGGGCATCTACAACTTCCTTGGGCAACCTGTTCCAGTGTCTCACCACTCTCACAGTGAAGAACTTCTTCCTAATATCTCATCTAAACCTCCCCTCTTTCAGTTTAAACCCATTTCCCCTTGTTCTGTCACTCCCTGCCCTTGGCCAAAGTCCCTCCCCAGCTTTCTTGTAGCCCCTTCAGGTACTGGGAGGCCACTAGAAGATCTCCCCGGAGCCTTCTCTTCTCCAGGCTGAACAGCCCCAACTCATGCCTGTCAAATTCATGAGTTGTGTCACCGGATTGCTCCTGCCTCCCCTTTGCTTGGGGGCAGAGGGTGAGCAGAACCAAAGGAGCAGCTTGGGTAGCTGGACCCATCTCTCCAGCCTGGTCTCAAGCAAAGGACACATCCCCATGGTCCTGCTTAGGGGCAGCTCAGCGTGGCCGGGTCGGACAGCGAGGGCAGAGTCTGTATGTGTGACAGGTCCTGGCCTGATGCTTGTGAGACCTGCTGAGATTTCTGCCACATCTTGATTAATCCCAAACTTCCACTTTTCCTAATTTCTCTCCTTTTTTTGTCACTAATAAATGAGTAGGAGTGAGGCAGGGATCACTGTCTAGCACAGACTCCCCTGGATCTTCATCTTGCTTCTTTTCCTGGGTATTCACTTGATGGATGAGCTCTGCTCCCTCCCCCCAGCCATGATCTCCCAGAATTTTTGGAATAGTTTCTCTAACTTGGCATGACTATTGTCTTTTTCAAGCAAGGAGCAACCAGTTGAGTCTGGCTTTAGCTGCAGGCTACCTGTGTGTCGTTATAGAGTGTAAGTCAACCTGTGGGTCCATCTATCCATTCCCTCCTGGGGCTCTGGCAGATGGTATGAGCACAAAGATATATATATTTTTTTAATAGAGATTTGGTGTTTTTTTGGTGTTTAAAACCTTATCTTCTGTCATCTAGAACGTTGACAAGAGGAGAGTAGTTTTCCCTGTACGGTGTGTCATAGTGGCAGTTGAACAGCAGGACATATTTGAGGGGTAATAGGGTTTGTTCCTGACAAACATCTCAATGAGGCCTCCTGAGATGTTTGTCAGGAGCAAGAGCAAAATCAGGTGAGAAGAGGTTGTGGTTCTGTGTAACGGGAGACAGATGAGAACAGGATGCTGTTGCCTCCTTGAAGATGTGTCAAGCAATCTGCACGCCTATATGGACCAGGGTGTGCCACGCCAGGCGTCACAGATGGGATGTCAGGGCCTTCACAAATCTGGGACCTCAGTTTCCAGATTTTTCCACCTCTTTTGCTTTCAAGGTGGGTGTTGGTTTTAGATGCATTCCCATCTTTGAATGACAGCAGCAACTGAATTTGGTCTTACATCGTGTACTTCGTGATGAGTTGATCATGCACCTTTGGAGCTGAGAGCAAGAGTCTGAGGGACAGTGATGTCCCCGTAGTCCTCAGGTGCTAAAGATTAAAAGGCAGGTTTTGGGGAGGAATTCTGGGAATGAGGCATAGAGAATCATAAAATCACAGAATCATGTTGTGAGTTGGAGCCACCAGGATGATGGAGTCCAACTCCTGTCCCTGCACAGGACAAGCCCAACATTCACACCATGTCCCTCAGGGCCTTGGCCAAATGCTGCTGCAATCTTGTCAGGCTTGGTGCCATCAGCACCTCCCTGGGGAGCCTGTTCCAGTGCTCCACCACCCTCTGGGTGCCTGAAGAACCTTTTCCTCATGGCCAACCTCACCCTCCCCTGCCACATCTTCCTGCCATGTCCTCTGCTCCTGGCATTCGTTGGTGGCCAGAGAGAAGAGATCAGCGCCTGCCCCTCCTCTGCCCCTTGGGAGGAAGTTCTAGACCCCCAGGAGATCTCCTCTCAGTCTCCTCTTCTCCAGGCTCAACAAACCAAGCACCTTCAGCCTCTCCTCACACCCTTCCCCTCTAAACCCTTCCCCAATGTTGTGTCCCTTCTCTGGACACTCTCCAGCAGCTTTAAAAATGCAGCAACAGGCTTGTGTAACCCTCTAACTGTACAACTGAGGGTGAAGAGCAGGGCCCAAAGTGTCTTTGGCACTCGTCCTTAAAGTGAAAGAGTGGACAAGTGTGTCAGATCAGTGACTGAGTGAAGCTTGGTTACCATCTCTGAAGGCTTCATTGTGTTTGAACTGAAGCTTGGCTTCTCCTGCAGTCACCAAGCTCCTGCAGGGCTCAAGGGATTTCTTCCCTCTGTACTGCCTGCTGTGCTTGTTGTTGAAGCTTGTTGAGGTTCAAAAGCAGGTTTGTCAGAGGAGATCAGGTCTGCCAGCAGAAGAGCTCCAGAAGAGCATAGCTATACACAACTGGTGCACCTGGAGAGGAGGTGACTAACCCCAGGTGCTCCCAAAACTTCTCCTGTCCTGGTCTGTCCTGATGCAGGAGATGGTGAGAGGACTTCAACAGTGGGTCTAGAAAAGCTGGTCAGTCCACCTCTGATCATTGCTCGTGCTAACAGTGAGGAGCCCCTCCCCAGCTCACCAAGGTTGAAAGCCTCATGCACGTGGTCACAAGGTGCTTTCCTCTCCTTTTTTGTGTGTTCTTCATTGACAAAGAAGGTCCCTTCCCATCCGTAAATGCTGAAGAAACACCTGGAGAAGTTGATCTTTCAGCAGCTGGGTTGGAGCTAGGGAGAGTAACTCTGGGCTCAACTTATGCTTGCAGGCACTCAATGGATTTGTCATCGCCGTGACCGGAGATGGCTACATCTTCTACATCTCCCCTACCGTGCAGGACTACCTGGGCTTTCATCAGGTGGGTTCCACTTTTTTCCTGACTGTCAGCAGACGGGTGCAGGGCAGACCTGGGAAGGAGGTGCTGATAGCCATGGCAGAACTTTCTTTTCTTCTCCCATCCCATCCCTTGGGTCGTTTTTTGATGTACTTTTTCAAATGAGTCACGTTCCTCGGGGGCTATGAAAGCCAACGAGCGTGCTTGTGGCTTTAGTAGAAACAGATGGAAGCGGAGCAGGGGCAGAAGATGTCATTCCTTTGTGTGTAAGAGGGGTGTGAGGCTTGTCTTGTGTCATGCTGTTGGGCACATAGGTCCTCACTTACAGAGGGCTGAGGGTATCTCGTTGGTGAGCAGGGCCAGTGCCCTGATGTACCGTGAGTTACACGGGATGCCAAGGAAAAGCAGGTCTCTCCCCACATCCACCCTGTTACCTCCAATTCCCCTGAGGTCTAGCTCCTTTGGCCAAAGGAATGAGTCAACAGGAGGACCATGAGGCTGCCAAACCTATTTTGTTGCATGGGTTCCTGGTTGCACCTGCAGAGATGGATGTGTCTTCTCCTTTGTCCTCTCTTTGCACCATTTCCCAGCTCACTGCAGAAGGATCCTCATGAGCTGATGCCCCAAATCAAAACAGCTGTCAGAGGCAGGGAGTGATCTTCCCAAAATACCTACGTGTCTGGTTGAGCAGGAGGCTCTGCTCTGGCATGTTTTTGAAGGCAGGGACATGGCATTTGGTGACCTGAGCTGCCCATGGGCTTGGCAGGGTCATTGTTGACCACCACAACACGCAGGACCAGGATGGGAAAGGCTGGTCCAAGACATGGCCTTAGAAGAAGGCCTAGAAGGGCCATGGCTATGTTGAGATGCAGGTGGTGTGAGGACTTGCTGGTGTTTCTGCTGTGTGGCCAACCTTTCAGCGTGTCTGGTTTTCCTGGTGGCCTGCTGAAGGAAGATAGTTTGCACTGGGATGGGTTTGGAGTAAAAAAAACAACAACAAAACTTACAAAAACATATTTTAAAACAGTAAAATTGCTGTTGCAGACCAGCAGTTTGTACCCCACAAACAAATTCTCCTCTGACAAGCCTCAGCCTTCCTGACTCTTTGTCTGGATTTGGTCCTGAGAAGATACCAGAAGTTAAGGTGTGCCATGGTAATGCTGCTCCTGTGGTGTTCACCCCACGGATGAGGAGCAAAGCTTCCCATAGAGCAGGAGCTCCCGTGGCAGGGGAGGGAGCTGGAGTTTCAGCATTTCCCATGAATTATGGTTAAGGATCAGGAGCCAAAACCAGTGTGGAACATCTGTGGAAAGGTTGGATGACACCAGGAGAACCTCAACCTTGCTGGTGTGAGCAAAGGGATGGAAAGCTCTGCTTCGCTGTGGCTGGGGGACACTGGGGAAATGGGTGATGTTGACAGTCCTGAGCAGCCAGGGTTCCTTGGGCATGGCCATTTCCATTGCTTCTTGAAACCCCAAAGCCATTCCCATGATTTCCCCAGGCAGACCCACTCTCTGCTCCCTTCTCCTCCTTCCTGAGCCACCCTCCCTACAAGCAGGCAGTTCCTGATCCTTGTTCTCCACGCTGCACACAAAGCTGGTTGTGTTCTCCTGTTTCTTCACCATCACTGCACTTTGAGTTGCCCACGAAGGAAAGGCTCCTGCCATGTCCTTCTCCAGACACCTCTGCCAGGCTGGGCAGGAGTTGACCTTCCTCTCCCCTTGTGTCATTCCAGTCAGATCTCATCTACCAGAGCGTGTATGAGCTGATCCACGCAGATGACAGAGCTGCCTTCCGCCACCAGCTGCACAGGATCCCGGTGTCTGGCAGCACCCAGCACGCTGCTGATGGTGAGTACTGGGATAGTCCTCAGCAGGGACCCATGGGGACCAGCCAGGCACCTCTGCATGGCCACCCAGTGCTGCAAAACCCTCCTGGTGGCATTTAGAGCCACCAAGCACAACCCTGTGCTGAGGAGCATCCTATAGCCAAGGCCCGCAGGGACATGGTGTGAATGTTGGGATTGTCCTGTGCAGTGACAGGAGTTGGACTCCATCATCCTTGTGGGTCCAACTCACAACGTGATGCTGTGATTTTATGATTCAGAATGATTTCAGTGTGGGTGGCTTGTTGCCTTGCTCTCGGCTGGGAGGCAAGCTGAGCTTGTGGGGACCAGTAGCTACGGTGAAATGGTAATTTCCCATGGCAAGGTCTTACCCCTTTTTTGAAGATCATGGGTTCACTTCAGCAGCAACCTCTCCACCAGGAGCAGGTCTGCAAGTCCATGAGTTCAAGGTGCACAGCTTGGAAAGCTTCATTTTCCCTTTGGTTTCCAGCCCTTCCCAGTGACCTGCTGGCTGGATGTGGCACCAGGTCCAGCCCTGGGAAGCCCTCCTTCGTGGAGAGAAGCTTCACCTGCCGCTTCCGCTGCTTGCTGGATAACTGCTCGGGATTTCTGGTAACATAACCCCACACCAGGACACTCCTCCAGCCCTGGCATGTCCCATAGAGCTGGGATCACAGCTGGTTCCCATCACCCTGTTTGCTTCACACCCACGTGTTTTAATCCCCTCTAAGGCCTTGAATTTCTACGGACGCTTGAAGTTCCTTCTTGGGCAGCAGCAGAAGGGATCGGACAGGTCCCCACTTGCCCTCTTCGCCATCGCAACTCCCCGCCAGCCACTCTCCATCCTGGAGCTTCAGACCAAGACGCTGATTTTCCAGACAAAGCACAAACTGGACTTCACTCCCGTGGCCTGTGATTCCTGGTAGGACACCTCACACCTTCCCTGTGGCAAAAACTGGGGCTGCAGGTGCTGGACAGAAAGCCAAGAGCCCACAGGAACAGGACACTCCTGACCCAGCTCCCCTGGCAAGTGGTCTGATGCTTTTGTCCTTCCACTGCTGGGCATTTCTGCAGCCCCCCAGTAATGTGGGGAGCAGATTAACTGGGTGCCAGCGTTTCTTGGCTCCCATGTTTTAGTCCAGCAAACACAGCGTGGGGATTTTGTGCTGGTGTCACTGGGCAGCACTGGG